ATGTTAAACTATAACTGATAAACTTTATTTTAATATAAAAATAAAAATTATTTTTTTATTAAAATTATAAATTTTAATATAGAGAGAAAATTTCAATTTTCATTATGTTCTATTAGTAAATTTAGCCCCTGAGTCATTACTTTTGGTCGCCACTGTATATATAATAAATTATAAAAATATAAAAAATATAATCAATTATTTCTTTTTGACAAAAATTATTATTTATTAATATATTTTATTTTTTCTAATTATAAAGTTGATTTTAAAAATGTAATAGTAATCAAAAAATAATAAGATAATTGATTTTTTATTTAATTTTAATTAGTAAAGCATATATTTTTTATCTCATATAAAAGTTTTAATTTTACTAATAAATATGTTAAAATAAAGCTAAAATCCTCTATTTTACCATAAATTTTTTCTAAGAGTTGTTTTCAATTAATTTTTTATTAATTAATTTAGTAAAAATTAAAAATTCTCTAGAAATATATATATATTAAGGTAAAGAATGCTAACTTTATTTTGAGTCTTTGTCCATAAACAAATATGTTTAGCTTAAAGAATTATATTAAAAAAATATGCATTACTTTATAAAAACATTACAAGTAATATCGTATATAAGCTACCTTTTTTGCACGATTTTGGGGGGAATAGCTTATTTTCGAGATTAAATTATTTACATATACTTTTGCACCCGATTTTAAGGCTGAAAAGTAGGGGATAGCTTAATTCAGGGGTTTTAGCCTATTTTCTGAGGTATGCGGTAATAGTTACAGTTGATTTCCCTAATAATAAAGTTTCCCGTTCCATCTAAAATTTTAGTATATCGATGGCGAGTTAGATCATATGATTTTCTTTATTATATCTTATACTTTATTATAAAGGAAGTCAGTGTATAATTTTTTTAACATGTTAAACTTGCATTGACATGGAAGAAAAATGCATCATGTGTTGATTTTTTAGAGTGTCCCATTCTAAAGATGAATTTTTTGCGTAAAAATTGCACTTCAATTTATACAAAAAGGCAACCGTTACTTTCCGTGCGGATTGTAATATTCTTTTTATTTATTTTATTTGTTATAAAGGTCGCGGCTTGATGAAGTACTCGGAAAAATTTTCTATTGGTAACGGATTTGCGGAGTTACTCTGGTTAGTTGTCTTGACCCAGAATCCCGTGATACTTTCATACTGCAACAACGCATCATAATGCACAATGAAAACCCCCAATCTTCATATCCAATGAAACGAAACGAAGATTGGTTTTCACTAGTTCACTACGATATAACAGAAGACATCATCCTATTGTCGACACCGCGAATTAACCATATGTATATAACAAAAAAAACAAGTAAACCCTTGTAAACCAAAAAAATTCACGTATTGTGCTCATCGGTGATTTATCGAATATATAATATAGCGATGCGAAATAAAAAACTAAAAATGCACAAATTCTTGTAATATGTCTGCGTATAATATCCAAACATTGGCAGACTTTATTAGACCAATTTTTCCACCAAATATCGCCGCAGACGAACTCGTTCCTAATACTACACGAAAAGGAAATGCTCCGAAGAAGACTTCAAACGCGTTTTTTATTTATCGAAAATCCTGTATCCAACGAATGAATGAGAATAAACTTTCTATTGCTATGCCAATAGCTTCGCCTATTATCGCAAAATTATGGGCTGAGGAGCCACAATCCGTGAAAAACGAATATAAGCAATTAGCTAAAGAAGCAAAAGAAATTTACAATACTCGGCATGGTTTAAAAAATGATTTGTCAACCTTTGTCATTACACACGAAAACATAATAAATACTTCGAATATAGTTATGCCTAATACTACAACTGATACTTTGGATATGACATTACCTGATAATACGAATTTAGTTTCTGTTAAATCATCTACTCCAAATCATTCAATCATGTCTCTTGGGTGTGACAGCAACCACGTCGAAGGTGGACATGCTGAAAATACATGTGATACGAACCTATTCTCTTCTACCAATCTATCAACTTTTGACTTTGATTTAGATTATTCTGTTTTTAATAGAGTGAATCAGACGACTTTTTCTTCTAATTCAGGCTCATTTCAATTTGTAAATAATAATTCCTTAATCAATATTAATGATACTGAAGAAATGGTGATTCCTTTTCTTTATGATCTTACAAGTTAAATTATAATAAATTCAGCACAAGTGTACTTTTTCAACATATGATAGACTTTACTTCTATATGGTGATGATGTTATACAACATGTACATTAGCGGAACGTGTAATCAATTACATTGACGTGAGAATTATGCGTATTGGGCATTGGACTGGACTTAGCCCAGTACCCAACATTAAAACTACTATATCTGATACTGTACTTTTCATATATGCACATAACTATTAAATTAGAAAATGTCTTAGAAAGTTATCTTTAGACCTAAACATTTTCATTGGCCTAATAATTTCGAACATGAAAGATTGCGTAAATGCATTGCGAAGCAAATCGATCCTGTAAATTTCTAAATTTAGATAGAATTTTGTATCGATATAGCATTGCTAAATAAGACATTCACATGACCATCGATTTAAGTCGACTAATTGTGGTAAGTTACGAGCTTAGTCATCTCTGAAAACTTAAAATTTTCTGTTCGCATTATTTATCCTTAATTATAAAAATAATAAAGTTTTAATTATGAAGCACAAATTATAATCTGTGCAGCATATTTATTAAAATATTTTAAAAGTGAGCAAAAGAAATGAATATAAGTCATAAAACCAGAATGTCAGTTATTTTCGCAAATCATTTGGAACCGAATAAACAAAGTATCTTCCTTCTGTTTATTAATAAACACAAGAAGGATGGATTTTTTTGGATGTAAGATTTATTTATTAAATTGATTTCTTCTTTGTTCCTAAACTAACTCTCTTTTCGAATCAAATAAAGTTCCCCCAATGAACACATTATTTACCGCCCCAATCCAAATTCCTCGTCCCGTTTTCATTCCAACCTATCAAACGCGCGTTTATTTCTCTATGCACACAAAAATGAATGAGAATCCTTACTTTCCTTTGTACGATGATGCGGGACATCAAGTTCAGGTTCCAAGTGAATCTAGAAATTGTAGGTCGATTAAACACCCTCATCCAAACTCGACAAATCAACTACCGTTAATTATCGATGATTACGCGAATAGAATGAATGAGGATCAAGACGTTGTCGTGTTCTATAAAATAATGAAGTTTGGTTCGATATTTGTGTATTATTTTAATATGATACTTTGTTTTGGATACTGTAACAGTAGGAATAACTCTTTACGATCTGCATAAATGCTAATACATAATTACGATAAGTTTGGGTCTGGGAAACTTTTTGATAGATGATATGATGTATTTTACTTGACTAATTTTCACATGTATGATGTATTCTTTATCAGGAGATTCCCATTGCATCAAATAGAATAAAATTATATAATCAAAAATTTCGAGAAATTTCCAATAAATGACATTTTGCCACTTACTACATCCAATACGTCACAAGAAATTTTGGCACACTCAAAGTATATGTATATAAAGCAACGCTGTTCGTCTCTTCGTTTAGTTAAAAAACTGGGTAATATCTTACGAATCATAAGCGAAATTTTTACATTATCTTTACAAAACATTCTTCAATTATTTCTTGCTTTTACTTTAATTACTCTCGGAACACAATTAATTATGGCTTTATCTCGTAGCAACTGGGGTGGCAACTGGGGTGATAACTGGGGTTGGCCCAACCGTGATTTCGGTTTGACACGCTATTCTCCTTGGAATGATTTTGGCTTAAACACTTGGGGAGGTTTGGGAGGTAAGGAAGATATCTCACTGCGTGCAATGCAAGGTCTCACAATATTGAACGTATGTGGTTCCCACTTACAGATGTCGGCGGTGGTGCTTTAACTACTGGCTTTAGGCCTTCTGTGGATGGTATTTTTCCTCGTTTTCTATTTTATTGTTTTTATTGTTTTCTATTATATTGTTTATCATTGCTCGTTTTAGTACGCGATACCGGAAACGAAATCGTCGTTCACAGTATGTTACAATTTTTATACAATTATATATTTTACTAGTTGCTATATCTAATATGATTTTATTACAGCCGAACTTCCTGGTGTCCCTAAAGAAAATGTTAACAGTATGTATTATATTTTAACTTTCGATTGTAGTTTTTTTTACATTCTTCTAATTTTTGTCCGTAATTAGTTGAAATTCGCGACAACAACCTATGGATTAGCGGAAACACTTCTGAAGAAAATGAACGTCGAGAATGGAATGGATGGATTCGCGAACGCCGATCTGGCCGATTCACGGTATGCATTCTTTTACAATTTTATATTCGAACTTTATTCTAAATCTTCCCTTCAATTATGCAGCGATCAATCCCATTGCCGACCAGCATTGATACTGAGAAAGTGCAAGCTAAATTCGATCAAGGAGTTCTTGAAATCATCGTATGTCATCATCGTCGTCATTATTTCTTTTGAAACTAGTTGAATTTATATTCTTTTATCATTTAGGTACCACGCACCGAAACCGAAAAGAAAACCATTACAATTCAATAAAACCATAATCTTTTACACTGACGTTTACGACGATAGTTACAATAATATTAATAATGCAAACATTCATAGTTTAGCTAGTCTATAAATATCTTTTACAATGAAACATCAAGATTAATATACAAGAATTAATAACAATAAAAAGTCCGATTTTATGACTTTATATTTTGAACTTGACATGAAATTGATTAGGTTTAAATATTCAACTTTATAATACATAACGATGAATTTTCTTTTGTTTATATACAGTGTGCGACAAAAAAACATTACTAAATTCATCATAAATCCACGAAGATTGCATCAAATTTGGTGAATATATCACAGAATAAAATTTATTTAGGCTCAAAAATTGATTTGCTTTCAATAACTAACTCACAACGATGTCTCATCAAATTTATTAAATTATTTAGAACGGTTTTTGGAATAGAATCCCATTCTTCTCTAAAACATCCAAATTTTAGGCATTCGTTTCTCAACGTTACTCTTAACAATGGCCCATAAATTTTCTATAGGGTTAAGGTCGGGACTACAA